TTTAAAAATATATGTGAACTGGAAAGTACAGCCAATGCATAATGGTTGTAGAATCATCAATTTCTTAACTGCCTGCTTTGAAGATTAACTTGGATTGATAATTCCAGCTACTGTTTGCATGATGACTCTCAGAGGTTCATTAGAGACCATAGACTGATATACACAACACTCTCAGTGTTTATGACGCCATGCAATGAGAATGATCTTTGCTTTACTCTTTGATTGTAGAAGCCAGAATTGAGTTCTTCCACCCACTCTTACACTTAGAAGTAAATCTGGAGGCTATTGTAATAAACCAGTAGCATTAGAATAATTCAGGTAAACAAAAGGGTAAGAAGCCTTGCCATTCATATCTTGAGACACTATTGTCTTTATAAGAAAAAAATCTTGACTGACTTTATTCCTTATTCTATCATTTTTATCACCCTCCAAGTAAATCCCGTTGTGCTCATAAGCCCCTATAAGGCCATGCAAATACCCCTTCCCTCTCCATATCTAATTTACTGGTAACCTCCAGGGTGTTCATTGAATCCACTTCTCATGTTCCCAGCTCTTGGACCTTGCATTTGCTGTCCCCTTGCCTGGAGCATCCTTCCCCTGCTACATTCATGTGGCCTGCCTGACCTCTCTCAAAGCTGTCTGTTCAGGAGTCACTTTGTCACTGTGGTCTTCATCAACCCTCCATTTAAAATACTTCCCATTCCCTTCCCTGTCTTTGCTTTAGCACTTAACCCCCTGATTCAATTTGTTTTCATCTATTATTGTCTTTCTCCCTTCACTAGAACATGAAGTCCAGGAAGGCATGAGTTTTGTCTTATTAGTTGACATTGGCTTTCCAGTGCCTAGAGCATTGCCTGGCAGTCAGTAGGTACTCACAAACTGTGAAGTGAATGAATAAATGAATGAACACAATAGGATTCACTGAGCAATTAATATATGCCACTTACTATGCATAATAAAAGGTGTTTGGGGTAAAGAAAGAAGTAACCAAACAATTACAATAATGTTGTCAAGTTCTATGAAAAGGCCCTAACATAGGGATGCTTTGGAGAACAAAAGAAGGGAACTGAACCCCACAGGCAGGGACACTGAGCTCTGATTTATAGGTGGTTTCAGGAGAGAGGATCAGAGAGAAGCCCCTTATTGCAACAGGCAGCCAGAGGTGTTGGAAGCATGGCTTATGGGATGATGTACAACTATTACCAAAGCTTCAACTCTGAGAAGCCATCAAAGGATGTTTAAGCAGAAATATTTAACCATTAGCATTCTAGAAAGCTCACTCAGACAGCAGTGTGCAGAAAGACTGAAGGAGGCTAAAAGTAGAGTGGCCATTAGATGGCTGTCACATTAGCTAGGTGAAAGAGAGATGAGGGCTCCAACAAGGGCACAGCAGTGCAGCTGGAGAAGAGGACTGGACCAGAGAGAGAGTCTTATGTATCCGAGGGGCTCAGAGCAGGAGTAAAGAATCACTCTCAGGCCAGAGTTAACTGATATTGGGGAAGATGATCACCAACGTGGGGACTATCGTATTTCTTTAACTTACTTGCTCACCATGTGCTGAAAATTGTACATAATCTTCAGAAATGGAATCTAGCAAGGGAAGGGGAAACAGGAAGGAAAATCAAGTGCGCTGTATAATTCCTTACTAGTTTACAAGTTTCTATCTGAACTTTGTTTGGCCCATTTTTCTGTGGTCTTTTATGGAAGATTGTGGAAACTCTGGTGTAAAGATCTACGTGGTGTTGGTAATTCATACTTAGAATTTTTCAGTGTCTCATTTGATTTTCATCTGTTGAGTTAGAATTATGTTCATAATTATGTGCATAATTCTTCAATGCAAAGTTTAAGCATTTTATATCAACCAGAAACTATAGTGAGATGAGTATATTTTAAGATTCAAATTGTAGTGGGAATTTTTGGAGTTAAAGAAATATAGCTTAATAGGTTAAGATTCTATGTGTTGCATAATTTCTAAACTTGAAACATAGAAACTATCTGGAAAAATAAAAATTTTATTTTAAGTATTTCCACCTTATTTGGTTGTGTGCAAAGTATATGCAAATTTCAAATTTGCCTGTCAAGAAAATGTCTAAGAAAGGAGCACTTCATTGATTAATAAAAATGGACCAAGAAGATTATAGCCCTACTTTGGAAAACTACTTGATCCAAACTTGTTGAGTTATGGGGATAATAATAATGGACTTATTTTAGAAATCTTAAACCACTAGAATTTTAATTTTCAGAATAATAAGAAGCATTAGTTTAACTAGTAAATAATGAATTGATGACTTACTTCATTCAGCTATTGTGCAGGCTGAAAGTATAAATAAGTTCAGAAAGATTAGGTCAATTAATGAATGAATCTATGGTATTTGTCCATTGCTTTATTTGTACCAGAAGCCACAAGACTAATCAAACGTAGACATCTTAACCAACTGGCAACATACTCTAATTTCAAAATAAATGTTAAGCAGGGAAATCTTATTTTGTAAGTTTAAATTTAATTATCACAACATTAGAGGTCCATAGTAGTAGTATTCATCCAAGGATACTAAAAACGCATGTAAAATATTGCTCATTAAAATAACCGGGGTGTGTACGTTTGTGTGTATACTTACAAATGTATATCTTTGCCTTACGTCCAACTCTATTCCCAGTTTCCTCTTGGAAATGGATTATATTCTCCTTGGCTAGATAGCATTTTTTTTACTAATGTGTTCAAAAGCTGAGAATGTATTCTTGGCAGCAGAATTATGACTATAAGACATGTATTCACAATTCAAAATTAATGTTAAATATTAAAAACTGCTTTTATTTTTCTACCAAAAATAACACTAATTTCCTAAAAGTGAAGGGAACAATAATGCTTTCTTTACAATTATCCATGAATATTGCATTAAAATAGAGAACTAATATAATTTTATGGATTTAAGAGCTATGATCGGTTTTTCTAAATCTCTGATTTAATGTGACCATAAGCATAAACCAAAATAGAAAATACCAGATATGTTGGCCTCTAGTTAAAATATTTGATGTAAAATTTTCTCTTATTTTCATTTTAAATAGTCCGTTCCTGGGTTATATATCCATGTAATGAAATATCCAGTTTTAGGGAATAATATTTTTTCAAGTGGCAAAGTTAGGTTTACAATGGGAAAGAAACCTTTTGTGAATTGAACCTACACATTCTCAGTCTAAACATTGCATTAATGTGCTCCTTGTTATATGATTTCCTTTCTAACATCAACATTTTAAGACGTGAAATGCTCTAGAGACACTTGAGAAAATGGAATCCTAGACAATGATAAGACCCACGGCTTGTCTTCATTCTCAGATCTCCTATCACCACAACCTCTAAACTCTGCCTTTTACTCAGCATTAACATTTACTTCCCAAACAATTTACCCAAGTGAGGAAATGATTAAACATGTTTATGTGCTAAGGAGAAGGAACTGGTGGAGAAGGGGAGGCTCTGATACGGATGTAGGGGTAATTGATGGAAACAGATTCCTGAGGACAGAGGCCAAGGATGGATTCCAGAGCCTACCAAATGAATTGGCCTTGCATGGGAGGTGGGAATCTTCTTTCTCTGATACCAGAGAAGGGTCCATGTGGATTGGGGTTGATGAGAGACATGATGTCGAGGGAATTTACACCTGAAGTCTCTTATTTTCTCTGCAAACCTGAAACAGAGAATTTTAAATAGAAGAATTAGAATGGGTAGGGAGAGTGACCACAGATATGTAGATAGCAAGCTCATTAAAATTTTGGTGGGTTGGTTGAGGATATCAATAGGAATATATAAAAATGGTAGTAAATGGTGAACTTTCAATAACCTAAAGCTGATTATATGAGGAAATTATTAGTCTTACTTGTAGGATTACAAAAGATCCATGAGGAACAGTTTCACCAATGTTCCTGAACATTGTGTATTTTTAATTTTAAACAATGATGCATGACTAGTTCTTCCTCTAATGACCACCCTAGTGTTTTATTTAATGTAACTGAGTATGAATCTAAGATCCTAATTAATGGAAATGTCACACATTGAAATTAAGATTTCCATTAATTAAAGTGTATTGAGCAAAAGAGATTTTACATGAAATGATAATGTCTATAACTTCACTAAACCATACAAAAAAGTAAATACATTTTTGAAAGGGTTAGAAGTATTTAATATTTTAATTTTAAAATAGACACAAAAAGTCAGAAATGTAGCTATATGTCCTTGTGTTCCTTTCCACTCTCCCAAAGCCATGCCTTGCTCTAAATAAAGCCAACAGAATCCCAACACTGACTTTGTGGTTTTTAAACTGCTAAATCTCAAAACTGTCACATTTACATTTTCTGTGTAAATGTTCTCATTCATCTCACTAAACATTGTATCCCCCAACTCCCATTATAGACTAAGCAACAGTTGGCAGCATCTTTTGTTCCCTTTTCAGGTACAAACTGAGTGCCACAGTTGACCTTGGCCACCCCTAGTTTGTAAACAAGTTTTTGTGCAGGTCAATTGACCACATTTTCTCTGAGAAAGAATAGAACAAAGTATGTTTCTTTGTAAGCTATTTAATTATTTCCTTTGCAAATCTGCTTACTGAAGTTTTGCAGATGCAGAATTCACATAATGTCTGTTAGTTGGGGAAGGGCATTGCATTGTAACAGCTTCTAGCAAAAATACCTGCAGCCCCTCTAAATGAGATTGATATGATAGATCTGCAAGTATTTGAAGAAACAGAGGCACTGGAACAGCAAATGTTCTTTTTTTTTTTTTCTCTCCCTGGAGAAATAATCAGAACCCTATTGCATATGCTGAATGTTCTTCAAAAAAGAATAAAATGGGAAAAAACACCCATCTGTACTTCCAACTGAAAATTTTCCTTGAGCATCACTGTATTTCAGTAGAGCAAAGAGAACCTACAGAATAGGACAGATTTAATTAGTCATCTAAGCTTGAATGGCTATAGTGTTATGTTGATTAAATTATATTTCTTTTTCAGGGTCCTCTGGGGCCTCCAGGACAAAAGGTAGAGTATCTAACAATGCTGTGGAAGTAATTATACTCCCATCGCCTAATGGCCTGCAAGAGAGGTGGGCAGAATTAGCTACTGTAAGCCATGCTGAAGCAGTCTGGTTTGTACATTCTGCTTTCTAAAAATAATTCATACAGAGTAGCATTAGATTTCTAATCAACTCCATTGTAGAAAATTCTGAAAATCCACAGCAGACCGTGTTAAGCTGTCTGCTGAAAGTGTCGGTTATTGAATTTTTAATTCAAATACTGTTTAAACAATGTGACAAAACTTAAAATGCAAAAGATCGAATGACATTGCAAATTGAATGCATGGTCTTGCTCAAATATGTAATAACCAAAGGGCCACAGAACTGCCCAGGATGAAAAATGTGTTTGTTGCTGCATTTCAGGGGTCCACTAAGTGTCCTCCTTTGCCAAGGTAACTGAAAAGTGACTTCCTGATTGTCATTTCAGTGTTATCCACAGTCATCCAAATTGACCATTACATTCTCCTGGGGGAGAATCTAGGGTTTCTAAAATTACACCAATACCACAGAGGTAAATATGTCACTAGCAGGAAGAAGGCTCTTTGCAAACAAAATAGAAGGAAGTCCCCCATTCCCCACTAACCTCCCCTCCTGCAGGGGGGAAAAAGGGATAGTTAACCTGCAGAAAACTAAAGAAAACAATTTTATTATAACAGGTGGAAAAGTGATTATTCTTTATCTTTGGAATCCATCAAAGATAGAGACTTTTTATCCCCCAAGCACTGGGCATGTGGCATCTGTTGAAACATAATCCTACAAACCAAGTAAAAGCCAACGAGTTGTGAGACAACTTGTGTATAGGAACACTTTGTCCCTCTCAATAATGTCTCTATTAAGCATGGTGTGAAATTGTAAAGCTACCCTAATCCACATTCGACCAGGATAAAATTACTGCTTCAGCCTTCGGGAAGTACTTTAATGACCCACCCCATATAATCATTGAATGAACCAAGGAATTTACCATCTTAATTTGTTTTGCATATAATTACTTTTGGGGGGGAAAGGGTAGACTGATTTTTAGAACAGATTTTGGTTGGTCATTACTATTAAAAAAATTTCCCATTATTATTAAAGAAATTTAATATACATCTACAAAGAAGAAAATCTGTTTTCTAGTTCTAGACAAAGAATAAGCACATTGTATTTTAAAATGATTTCTCCAGAGCCTAAAAGGGAGGTGTAAGGGAAGGAAATGACATCACTGTTTGCTAATGCTTCTGTGTCCACTTAAATGACTTAGATTTTCTTGAGTCAAATTAGCTTTCTTACTCTCAGTGCACCCCATCTATGCCCAACCATCCATACTCACCCAAGTATGTATGTGTGCACTTGCACGCACACACATCTTAAAATGTTTTGTGCAGAAGGTATTTTCTTTTCCTGATCAGTGTATAACATTTATGATATTTTTTGAGTCCACTCTGAAGACATTCAAATTTGGGTGGCATAAACATACTACCTGAGAGTCCAGGGGGAAAATACTCCAAATACAAAAATCTTGAGTTTACAACATGGGTCCTTTATTTAGGTGTAGGACAAACAGTTGTTATTTTAGTATATTTTTATGTTATTTACACTCTTGAAATTCAAGAATTACTGCTAGTGTAAGGCTTTTTCCAGATGGAACAAAGGCTATTTATTTCTTAACAACAAAATTTAAAGCCATATAACTTTCTGATAGATATGGATCTCAATTTATGACATGAAATTCTTTAAAATCATATTAGGGTTAAGTGGATATTTGGAAACAAGTTTAAATTTTAACTTGAGTTTTTGAGAAAGCTTGAAGACTACCTATGTTATATATTTTCAGATAGTGAATAAGATCTGAAAAAAACATAATATTATAATTTTTTGCACATAAGTTCTGTGATGTTTTACCAAGGTAAAGTTATGACTGACATAACTAACACAATATAAATTTAGAATTGAAATATTGTGTGATTATGCAATTTAATTTAATTATGAATCTCCTTAGGGTTCCATTGGAGCACCTGGAATCCCAGGAATGAATGGACAAAAGGTGAGTTCCTTTGAATATATAATTTCTTTTATAATTTGGAGAGCATTCAAATCACAAAATTATTCTAGTGAATGAGTTAACAATAAGTTTTTGTGCTTATACAAGTACTACATGTACTTCTGAAGTATGGAAAAGTATGGTACAAATGATCAAATCTGTGTCATTTTGAAAAAGGCACTAGTCAGAAACTGAAAAATTTCCATTGTAAGTATTTTGAATGCCAGTTTGATCAGTTATATGTATGATACAGCTATATCTTTTTCATAAATATAAATGGCTTAGGGAAATGCCAAATTTAACATTTTTCTTGAAGAACAAAATGCACTCTAGTTTATTCTAGTCATGGTTAAACTAGGTACTGTTTCTGGGTTAACAAAAGTTATTTTTACAGAGGGAACCTATAAAAACTTCTGAATCCAGAAGCAAGCTTTTTTAATTGTTGAACAGAATTAGGGTTAAATACGCTTGCCATACTCATATTAATACTTTTGTGGTACTGTTAATAGCGAGGGAGAATAATAAAGTAAAACCAGAACTTCACAACTCCACATACCCATATTCCCATGCCTCAGTGTATTTATTCCTTCTACATACTTACCGGTGGACAAAGCATCTAGCGTAATCCCGTGGATAAGTCTGATATTCTGTGCTCCCCAACAGTCCTGACTGGCTCTGCAATCTGGAACCTCTACAGAGACCAGGAAAGCCATTGTGAGAGCTGACAAAGCCCATGGCTGGGCTAGTCTACCAGAAGGCAGGATGCAGAGTTAGGGACTTTCCTGTCCCCCTCAGAGATCTGAGCCTAGGCTTTAGAAATCCTGTGACTCATCTGCTTGTATTCCCAGAATATTTTAAATCCATGTGCCCTGGACCAAACTCTGAAATTATAAGGAGGCCAGCCTTTGCAGAGAGACTAAGATGCCTCATAATCCTTTCCATCTTTTCTCCATCGTGGCTTCTCTATCAGAACTTGCAAAGTGGCTAAAAGCATGAGTGTGCTACTTAGAGGTAATGTGAATTTGACCAAGTCCTTAAAGTTTCTGGCCTCAGTTTCTCCTCTGGAAGAGAGAGACAGTAGCAGGTCCTTCCCAATAAGGTCAATGTAAGGAACAGACATGAAGCCCTTATATTAGTGTTTGCTATTACTAGTGAAATTTCCCTTCATTTTATTTTAGTGAAATTCTGGAAATTTGATGAATCTATGTTTGGTAAAGACTCTCTTTCGGAATTACTCGCCTCTCAAGTGAAATTAATGTTCTTGACCCAGGCTTATGGCATCCTTAGGCCATAAACCAAGCATGCAGCACTCATTCAAGGCTAGCTAACCATGCCGCAGCTCCATTTTCCACTTTGCTTCACAAATTCTGGTAAGGACAGAAGATTAACTTTCTGGGTGGAGCATTGCAGGTCATGGAGGGAAACATAAACACAATTCGTAAGTTTGTCCTTTTTAGGATCAATTGAAAAATTATATAACTCGAAATGTTTTTTAACATTGGTGAAACCCAAAACTTGTGTGCCTATGGTTAATGTTTTGCTTTGTCTTCTTTGTTTCTTTTTCTTTTTCCCACAATCATGAAAATTTATAGAAACCTTTAACCTGAAACAAAACAACTTTAAAGCTGTCACATGGATTCTTTTGAAGACTGCGTATTCTTTATTTTTGCAAGGAAATATGCAATTTCCTTAGCAAGAGAAAGGAATGTGACATTTTCTTGTCCTAGTCACCAAGTTTAAATTATATTTCAAGGAACGAGACAGTTAATATTTGCAGTTTTATGTTTTGTTATACATCCTTGTGGCATTTGCAATGTGTTTTCTCTAAAACCTAGAGAAACCAAATGTTTTCACACTTTTATGAAGGTCTCAGCAAAATGTAGTTTGAGTTTGTTTTTTCTGCTTCATCAATCTAGACATAAAACTCTGTATATGGAACTTCTGTTCATCCTCCTTATTATTTAACAGTGGAATAGCTGTTATGTTGTCTTTAGGAAAAGAAGGTACAAACAGGAGTCTCCTTCACTGAGATGGCTGGTCATTTAGACAGTAAAGACAAGGTTGGCAGTACTATAATAATTCTATAGCTCGGACTCACAGAAGGAATCTTGAACTTCTAAAAGTGCTTTTCTAAAAGAGAGAGCTTATAATGACATAATAATTTTTAAAAAGCACTCCATGTCCTTAAACTGTCTTGAGAGAACATTTTCTTCCACATTATAGATTCACTGTTTCTGAAGAAATACTTTTGATGCCCAGAAAATCATTTTCAAACAATTGTTAAAAGAGGGTTATCATTTCTAAGCCATGAAATATGGCAAATAACAACCAGGAAATAAAAAAAAATGTTTTTTCTTGTGTTTGAAAAACAAAGGAAAAGTAAATTATTTCGATACAATATTTTGTTTTCTACAAGACATTTTTATCTGTCATGCAGATTGACAAAATTGGTAATTAGCCTTGGTCATTTGATGGTGATTTTTTTTTTGCACTTATTTTCCTCTATTAGTCACCTTACTTGCTAATCTGAATGTTAGTTTTTTGTAATGGTCTTCTAATTCTTTAGATTGTGCTAGGGAAAAAAAGACTTGCAGTAACCCAGCACTAAACTCTAATCTAGTTCCTTCTAGCATCCCAACCTACACTAGTTACTAAGCATCCTTCTGTGAAAAGCATAAGCCTAGTGAGGTGTAGAGGAAAGAATATGGTCTTCCAGTCAAAGACAGGGTGCTTGTGTTTAAAAAGGTCCTTGCCTGGGCAAGTTACAGAACCTGTTTCAGTCTCCAGTATAAAATGTAGAGATGGACCTTGGTTTGCTAGACTAAGTGTCTAAAGTGAACCTTATATAAGAGATGCTCAGTAAATTTTGAAAAGCATTGATAGTAGAACCATCATGCTTTAAAAATCTCGGCAGCCAGGCATGGTGGCCCTGCCTATAACACAGCTACTCAGGAGGCTGAGGCAGGAGGATCACAAATTTGAGGCCAGGCTGGGCAACTTAATGAGACCCTGTCTCAAAATAAAATTTTAGAAAGTGGGTGGGGATGTAGTTCAGTGGCACAGTGCCCCTGGGTTCAGTCCCCAGTGCCGCAGTCCGGCTGCAGCAAAATAACCGGGGGTGACGAATAACTTGTGTACTTGATACAGCAGGAGTAGGAGCCATTTATTGCAGGACAGGAGCAGTATTTATACATTCCACAGAGCTTATCTAATTAGCATAAACTAGATACATCAGTCAACCAATAAGGAATCTCCACACTTAATGGCTTGTTTTTGTTACTTCTCAAACCACTCCCTCTGGCATTTTGCCAGGCACCATCCAGACTTGTTTACGAACTCTAACATTCCCCTGGCTAAATGCCAGGTGTTATTTTGACTTGTTTACAGACTCTAACACCCCAGTACAATGAGGAGGGGGTAGAGGAGAGGGGAGAAAGGTAAAGCTGCATTCCCAGCCCATTTTATTATTTTTGTAATTCTCACAGTTAAAGGTATATCAACATTTTATTTATATTCACATACACAAATGTACACATGGCAAGAAGTGTCTATGTGTATGTGTATGTCAGAATATTTTTTATTAGCTACACATGACATTACAATGATCTTGGCAATTCATACATTTGAATCAATTGGGGTATAATTTCTCATTTTTCTGTCAGAATATTTTAAATCCTTCAGATAACACTGAGAAGCATGGACTGTTTAAAATGATATTATGATAAACCATTTTTTAAATTAATTTTTTTATTTTAAATGACAGTAGAATGTATTACAATTCTTATTACACATATAGAGCACAAATTTTCATATCTCTATAAAGTATATTCATACCATTTTGTGTCTTCATACATGTACTTTGGACAATAATGTCTATCACATTCCACCATCATTTCTAACCCCATGCCCTCTCCTTTACCCTCCCACCCCTCTGCCCTATCTAAAGTTTCTCTATTCCTCCCATGATCCCCCTCCCTACCCCATTATGAATCAACCTCCTTATATCAGAGAAAACATTTGACATTTGTTTTTTGGGGGATTGGCTAAGTTCACTTAGCATTATCTTCTCCAGCGCCATCCATTTACCTGCAAATGCCATGATTTTTATTTTCTTTTATTGCTGAGTAATATTCCATTGTATATATATGCCACATTTTTTAAATCCATTCATCTATTGAAGGGCATCTAGGTTGGTTCCACAGTTTAGCTACTGTGAATTGTGCTGCTATAAACATTGATGGGGCTGTGTCCCTGTAGTATGCTGTTTTTAATTCCTTTGGGTATAGACCAAGGAGAGGGATAGCTGGGTCAAATGGTGGTTCTATTCCCAGTTTTCCAAGAAATCTCCATACTGCTTTCCATATTGGCTAGACCAATTTGTAGTCCCCCCAGCAATGTATGAATGTACCTTTGTGCCCACATTCTTGCCAACATTTATTGTTGTTTGTCTTTAATAGCTGCCATTCTGACTGGAGTGAAATGAAATATTACAGTGGTTTTGATTTGCATTTCTAATTGCTAGTGATGATGAACAGTTTTTCATATATTTGTATATTGATTGGTTGTATATCATCTTCTGAGAAGTGTCTGTTCATGTCCTTCACCCATTTATTGATTGGGTTATTTGTTTTTTTGATGTTTAGCTTTTTGAGTTCTTTATATACCCTAGAGATTAGTGCTCTATCTGATGTGTGAGGGGTAAAAATTTGCTCCCAAGATGAAGGCTCTCTTTTCACCTCAGAGATTGTTTCTTTTGCTGAGAAGAAACTTCTTAGTTTGAGTCGATCCCATTTATTAATCCTTGATTTTAATTCTTGCATCAAAGGAGTCTTATTAAGGAAGTTGGGGCCTAATCCCACTTGATGGATATTAGGGCCTACTTTTTCTTCTGTTAGACACAGGGTCTCTGGTTGTATTCCTGGGTCCTTGATCCATTTTGAGTTGAATTTTGTGCATGGTGAGAGATAGGGGTTTAATTTCATTTTGTTGCATATGGATTTCCA